GCATAGGGGTTTACACGTGTCGCGTAAGACCTTTTACGACTGCGCATATGTGTGCGCAAGCGCAGAATATGTTTTCGCGTGCACGTTTTTATGTATAATGGACGTATAAGCTAAAATTATCTAATTATCTATTTCAGTTAATGTTGATGATTGCGTTGTTTCTTAATTTTTCGAATTGGATCCGGCTTATTATTTTTTGCAGACTGTAAGAGCAATTTTTATAAAAGTAAGCTTAAACTTTCGATTATATCAAATAGAATTTCCGATATATATTTGTTAATATGTAAAGGATCTAAAGCAAAAGTATGTTTTGAAATCCGAAATCTGTTTTATCAATTTCACGCTGCTCGGCATGGGGAACGCCGCAGCGGGCGCGTAATGAATTGGAAGTTGATCTGTCAGCACTATCCTTATCTTCAGCGCAGATGTTTTTTTTTATTTGGCTTATACTTCCTTATCAAATGTAGTATTTCATCTCGAATATGCTCCGTCTTTGATATGATTTAAAACAAGTTCCTCGTCATTATAATTCGCTTCCGATAGCAAAGAAAGTGACAGAGGTTATTGAAAACGAAAAAATTTCGATTGACAAATTAGTCGGTGTTCTCGACACAGCAATTATAGCCCTTGAACAGCGAACTTTGTAACTGAACAAGAAATTATGTCTGTTTAATAGAATTAAGAGAAGTATTATCACATGAAAACGAAGCAAAACTTAAACAACTTACATTGAAAGAAATGTTTAATAAAGTAAACAAATAAACATTAAACTTTTCCTTTTTGCAAATTTTGATACCCTTTAGATCATAATTGTTCTTTATTTCATAAATTACGGTTTCATATTTTTAATTTTAGAATTTCTGCATGCCATCTTACGAGATTTAAACTGATGATCTATAATCCGGAAAAATCGATAATCCGGAATCGCCGAAGTCCCGACGAGTCCGGATTAACGACTTTTGACTGTACATATAATAACAAATGCAAACCTAATGCCAAAAAATTTACTATCTTCACAACCAATATAGTTCTCATAATTATCTCTGTTTAAATAATAGTCATTAGTTGACTTTATTACTTGAGTAGTCCTGTTTATAATTTCTGATAATTGCTTAGTTTTCTTATGCTATATCTTGTTTACATTTTCAGGTTTCTTAATATTGGTATCTGAAGTTCAATGTTTAAGATCACCCATGTGGTTTCATTCCAAACTTTATCTTGAAATGTACTTTACTTAGTTTTTGATTTTGTGTTTTTACAATTTTTAGTAAGTTTCTTGTTTCATTTCTTTCTTAATTAATTGAACTAAATTTAAAAAAAAAAAAAATGTTTTATCACTAATATTGTGACAAGGAAAGAAATTTCTTGGCATTTCAATATTTTTGTATGTTATTATATTTTATTTCACTCATAGCATAAAAAGTGAACAAAATTTCAACAAAAATAATTTACATTCCAGAACAGTGATACAGAACAGTAATCATAAGCTTCAGAATGTAACTGAAAAGCAACTAGTTTTTTTACTGCTGTTGCTGTCTCAGAGAAAGGACAGTTTCCAGTACAGTTTAAAATCTTACATAAATATATTAAGGAAAAATTTTTGAAGAGTATGTAAGTAGATACGTATATATCTACATTTTTATAGAAGGTAAGTGGCAGTTTTAGGCTATCTTCAAATTACAGAGCATAGTATCTGTTGAAACAAACTATATTTTCATATTTGATTTTTTTTAGCAAATAGTTTTATTGACATAATATTTTGAGCTTATTTTCTACCCATTTTAAGTAATATTTTAATTAAGCATGTATTTTACATTAAAGATTATGTATCAAATTTTGAAGTTTGTTCTTTTAGTTGCAGTAATTTTAAGATAATTATTTTATTTAAATATATTACAATCAAAAGTCGTTAATCCAGACTCGTCGGGACTTCGATTCCGGATTATCGATTTTTCCGGATTATAGATCATCAGTTTAAATCTGGTAAGATGGCATGTAGAAATTATAAAATTAAAAATATGAACCGTAATTTATGAAATAAAGAACAGTTTGGTCTAAAAGGTATCAAAATTTAGAAAAAAAAAAAAAAAAAAAAAAAAAAAAAAAAAAAAAAAAAATTAATTTTATTTTGTTTACTTTATTAAACATTTCTTTCTATGTAAGTTGTTTAAGTTATTTCGTTTTATGTAATAATACTTTCTCTTTAATTCTATTAAACAGACATAATTTCTTGTTTAGTTACAAAGTTCTACTGTTCAAGTCTTGTAATTGCTGTGCTGAGAATACCGACTAACTTGTCAATTGAAAATTTTTTCGTTTTCGCTAACCTCTCTGTCACTTTCTTCATGCCTTTATCCATTTTTTGCAGCAATTCCACTTTTTGTTTGATGGACATCGAAACATACTTTCGCTTTGTAGATGCTTTGGGAGCTCCAGCATCGGAAATTCTATGACATAATCGAAAGTTCTGTGACATAATCGAAAGTTCAAGCTTACTTTTATAAAACTGCTCTAACAGTCTGCAAAAAATAATAAGCCGGATCCAATTCGAAGATTAAGGAACAAGGCAATCTGCAACATTAACTGAAATAGATAATTAGATAATTTTAGCTTATATCGTCCGTTATACATTGAACACGCATGTGTAAACGTATTATGCGCTTGCGCACACGCATATAAGCTGCCGTAAAGGTCTTACGCACATGCGTCAGCAGTACGCATGCGCAGAAAGTTTGTAGCTTTGAGGCCCGGATTATAGATCATTCCGGATTATGGGTGTCCGAATTAACGACTTTTGACTGTATATTGGACTTGGCATTTTGTAAGAAATATGAAATTAAGTTTACAATTAGCTAAGGTTTTGTTACAAGAATATTGTGTAGTTTTCTCTTCACCCCCTCTTCTTTTTCTCCGTCCTTCAACAAATTGTTTTATATTCAGTTTCTGTTATCAGATATACTCTGACATGCAGCAATAAACTTAGTTTAATCTCAATTAGATGATGTTTATGCAATGTAAAACACAACTAATTCATAATGCAATTATTGTTATTTTACTCATGTGTTTGTCTCATTTGTTACAAAAGAATAATGGAAGTATTACATCATGCAATTATAATGTTTAAAGTTTTAATTACACTTTTTTATCTCATCATCCCAACTGCTTACAAATACATATCACATAATGGTGAATCTTTGGATTATGGTAACTTGGCGATTTTTTGGCGACCAACCCTGCTACAGCAACCTGCTAGTTTTTTTTTAGGGGGACGCCATTTTGTTTTGACGAAGTAAAGGCTTTTTTTTTTTTTTTTTACTCAACATTTTTTCCAACAATCTGCTAGCCGAATTACGCTTATGCTAGAACTTTTATGGAACAAAAGTGCTTAATAATGACGAAGATTAGGTGCGAAATTGTTTCTAAGTGCTTATTAGGTAAAATCATGATCAGAATTTTCCAGAAAGTAGTAGAACAAACGTGCACAGAAATTTGTTTTTACAGGGCAAATTTATATATGAAATATGTAATTCCCCCTTTTGGGATTTAAAGAACTCTGATTCGTCCATAAATGTCACATGACATGTCTCATTATCTCTCATTTCTCTGAGACAAAATAATTGTGATTGGAATTGTGTACTTCTCAGATTATTGCTAATCAGGTTATTATCTCAGATTATTGCTAATAACCTTTATCGCCTTACCAAAATGTCGCCAAACTACCTGTTACCATATTCCAAAGATTAGCTCACATAATTATATCACTGAATCATAGTTGAAGAATTGATGAATATAAGTTAAAACCTTATAAGACTAAAAATGCTCATATAAAAGAAAATACTTACTTTCAGTCAAATAAATTATATTATTAACTATTTGGTTAGTACTTCTTAGCAGAAATTGCATATTTCTTAAAGTAATAGAATCATAGAATAACAATAAAATAAAATCTTTTACAAGCATTTAATTCCAAGTCTCATTCATAAATTTAGAACAGATGAGATATGCATAATAATTATTTTATTGTTTGAGCAGTTATGTACATTCATTTCTTCACATGAATCTATTGTGTATGGAACTGTTCTCATGCATATAAATTTGTTCGCATGGAATTTTTGTTTTATGTAGCGGGTCTCATGAGTTATGTTACAATAAAGTCATTCCTTCTTAAGGAGGATAATATCGATAAATAAATAAGTGCTTCACATTTACAAAAACCACTTACGTTGTCGCTATTTAAATAAATTCTTTACTCGTAAGCAAGGTATAAATATGTCTCTGGGATCTGTTTAATTCTTTTTTTATCACCCTTTTTAAATTATCTATTTACAAATTGATGTCCATGACTATGCTACAAATATATGAGATGAAGGGTACTTTTCCGTTTTGCCGGCGCAAACAATAAAGTCGCCAGTAATGGTACAACTGATGCCAAATGGAATATCCACGCTGGTAACCTTTCACGCCTCATTTTCAAAACAATTCACAACCATTTCTTATCAGATTGATTGTTTTTTCAATACTGGCGTATAATTATAGAATTTTTACGAGACAGTTAAATTTTATGCCCTAAAACCATTCACATAGTTAAGTCAATTAGGTTGCAATCACACCGCAAACCGGAAAGCGAAAATATAGAAAAGGCAAAATCAAGGGTTAAATTCATCAATTCTAATGAGAATGCACTAGTGAGGTAAAGCACTGTGGTTTTACATAATTTCTGAGTAAGCTATTTGTACGAATTGAAATAATTCTTACTTTTAAACTAGTATTCCAAATTAAGATTTAACTTGAAATTAATGTAGATAATTACTGAGAGAATTAGATTTTTATAGTGTAGGTTACGTGAGATGAATCCTTGATGGTCACGTGAATGAACCTGGCGATCAGATGTTGAATGTGAAACTAGTAATTCTTAATTGATGTCTTTTTAAACAATTTTCTTGTCTTTATTTATTGCTTTTTATAAAATTTTTAAGCGATTAAAAAAAAGAATTCTTAGAACTAACTTTTTTATTTTTATGTGTATACTGTATGTTGTCGCCAATAACGTCCGCTTGGCGAGATTTGCGCCGGCGAAACGGAAAAATACCAGATGAAGTTCATAGTTTTAAAGGATTTGCTCTTTTTGCATCCTTATCACAGCTTGTATTCTAGTTAACGACATACAAACCTCAAGATAAAGCTCTTTGAGTAATGCAACATATTTTCCACTTTATACGACCACTGGACTTCTACTTCTTAAAATTTACCTTAAACTTTTCACATACTTGAAATTGCCTTACTTGTAGTCATTGCTTTATCTTGCATCAGTTCTTGTTTATACTTTGTAAGCTTCTGCATCTTTCATTTCTTTCAATATTCACATTTCAGTCAGTAAGTACGTATATACAGGTTTTCACACACAGAGATGCAAGTTTGTCCTACGTATGCATGTATCACATGTTACATAACAACACCTCTGGAATTTACAGTTACATCTTTCTTCAATTTCAATCCATGTGGTGAGGTAACCTCTTGAACAACACATAGCTTCACAACCATATGAATCTGTACCAGTGGCATTACATGCCCTAAAAGAGAAATAATATATTAAGATCATTTTTGTGGCTGTATGTATTATACAGTCAAAAGTCGTTAATTCGGACACCCATAATCCAAAATGATCTATGATCCGGACCTCAAAGCTACAACCTTACTGCGCATGTGACGTGTTGACGCTACCTAGACCTTTACGGCTGTCGATATCATGTGCGCATGCCCAAATCGTTACGCATGCGTGTTTATGTAAAAGAGGGATAGCTAAGCTAAAATTATCTATTTCAGTTAATGTTGCAGATTGCGTTGTTCGTTATTGTATCTTAGTTTTAAATTTTTACCTTGAAATCTTGCCTAAAATCAAATGGCGAAGCCTATATGTGCCCAGACTGGGCTCACCGAGAATCTAGGACAACTGAGAGTCTGTATTTTTTGTTTCTCCACATTTCATTGGTCAGTTCATTGACAACAATGCTCGTTTCAGCACTTGTTTCGAAGCTTTATTCAATCAGTGTGCCACTTTGGGCACACCTACAGAATTAAAATGCTGAGTGCTATCTTCACAAAATTTTACTTGTGTACTCCTATGTGAGTGTATTTTTAAGATACACAATCTGTGTTAATCTGTATTTTAATCTTTTAACTTTTTTTTTGTTTGTCTGCATCGGGTGTGCTGCATTAACCATGAGACCAGGAGGGTTGCAGCATACTAAACTAAACTAAACATATGACCTATTAAATTAAGTAGAAAAATATTATCCATGGGATAATGCAAGGCTCAAGTCATTCAAAGGTATTAGGAACAGTTACCCAGTACAGGTTACTTTGATACAATCGCATGTTACACTGTGAAGAGACATGTTCTGAGAAATTCCAAATTCAGTCCAATATCAATTAAATGAGAAGACCATGATAGTGATTAGTGATTCTGACTAATCACTATCATGCATTTTCATTTTGGTATGCAAATGGTGATGGACTGTCACCAATAACACGATAAACAGTATGGACTAACAACTCTGCAAAGGATGTTAATTGTGTAACTCGTTTTCTTCTTTACTTTTCTCACTTCGTCAGGAAAGCACAGTGATATGACACTCTGTATTATATAACTCTCTTTTCAATATGTACAGTGCAAAGTCTTTAATCCGCACTCATCGGGACTTCGGCGATTCCGGATTAGGGGTTTTTCCGGATTATATCATTAGTTTAATCCGGTAGATGGCATGCAGAATTAAAATAAAATATACTTATTTATGAAATAAAAGAGCATAATTAAAGGGTATCAAATTTACAAAAAATTTTATTTGTAAATATATTTGTTTCTTTTTAAGCATGCTTTCAACGCCGCATAGCAAATAGATAGTCGAAAACATTGCATGTTTTGATGGTATTGTGATATTTATAAGACGAGGAATTTGATTTAAATCATATCAAGGACTATCGAGATAAAATGCATTTAGTAGGAATTATACCGATAAAATAAAACATCTCCTGAAGATAGGATATGCTAAGATCACTTCAGTTCATGAGAGCCGACGCCCCCCCCCCCGCAGATCAGCGTGAATTATAAACATTTGAATGGTTAGAGAATCAAAGGATATCCTTATAATTTTGCAGCCATTCCACTTTTTGTTTGAGGACATTGAAACATGCTTTCCTTTGTGTTCCATCTTGGAAATCTATTTGCAGAATCGAAAGTTCAGCTACTTTATAAATGCTCTAACGTCTGCAAAAATATAAGCCGGATCAATTGAAGATTAGAACCAATCTGCAACATAACTGAAAATAATAAGTAATTTTAGCTTAGCTTATAAATCGTCGCTAACATAACATGCGTAAATATTATGCGCATGCGCAGAAAGTTTGTAGCTTTGAGGTCCGGATTATAGATCATTCCGGATTATGGACGTCCGGATTAAAGACTTTGTACTGTATTTGAATACTAACAAAACTCGATCTATTTTCATGTATCAATAAAATGTGTTTGTGATTAGTTTCAGTTTATGTCCACATCTCTTTTTTTTTTGGATTAAATTAATTAGTTATGATCTCGCTGATGCCATGCTGGATACAAGGTAAGAGGAATCATTTTGCTCTCTACTTTTATTAATTTTGTTGTGAAATTTTGAGGCTACAAAAATGTTTTACAACACTGTGTACTACTTTGATTCTGACTACTGAGCATAGTTTTTTACTACTATGCAGCCGCCCAACCAGGATAGTGGTTAGTGATTCTGACTACTGTAACAAAGAGCCCAAATTCCAATCCCGGAGAAAGCATGAATGTTTGTATAATATCTGCATGAGATGGAGGCACTCTAAATATGGCACAGGCCAAAAGCCATCTTGATCTGCCCCCCCCCCGGGATGCTTTCTCCCTCAACTGGAGACAAAACTGAGCTAAAGTTAGCTGTAACCTATATGGTACTGAAGGGTACTCAAGGGTCTATCAGGTGCATATGACTCCTTGCCTTGCTGAATGTCATGGGGTTGTACTGACCTTTGTCAGACAAGTGAGATTGGTAACAACAGATAAATACAAATTAGTATTTACATGCTATATACAAATTACCTATCAAAATGATCAGAAAAATAGGGCTATGTACACCTAAAGAAAAGAAGATACCTTTATAGATCGATTTCTTAGGGAAATTGGATCATATTTATGTTTCACATAATGAAAATGATGGAAATTTCTTGCAAACAAACCTTTTTGTGGATATTTGAACTTTTTTTTTTTTAAATATATATATTGAAAATTTTAAATTCTTTGTGCACCACATAGTACAAACACAAGGCTTACAGAGGTAAGTAAAAACAACACAACACAAAATAAAATAAACTTCCAAATTCACAGACGACATTTTATCTTGGACAAATACCTGAAGAGGGGGAGGAAATGTAATACTTACAGAGTTTAACCTACAAATGAGTTCTTTTCGTCCTTCCGTGAGCTTTGAACAATAGAACAACAAATGTTCAACATTTTGCACTCCCAAAAACTGCATGAACACAAGTTGTACTAGATAATCTAAATCTCATCGATCTGACTGAAATTCCATTAGAGTTACAATATTGTAATTTGAAATTGCGAAAATGTGTTTATTATACAGTCTGTAGGATGAGAATATTAATTTGGTTAAGGTGGCAGTATAGAATTCCTGTATAACTCCTCCCACTTAAGTCTGTATCATCCCTTTTTTTTTTTTTTTTTTTTTGATGACTTCAGTAGTAGCAATGAGTTTTACTTGAAGATTTTAGCTGTTTGCCACCATCAGCCTCTCATTTCCAGATTGCCTGTGGCCAGTACATGAGAAAGGGTAATATAAACACCTTTATTATATTAAGGTCTATAAGAAGGGCATCAGAAGTGACAATTATTTATAATGAGAAGATGTTCCTAAGAATACAAGGATAAGAGAATCGTGTGATACAAATTAGTACTTAACAAGAGTTCTTAGATATCCACTTATTGACTCACTATGCACAGTATTCGGTTTGGAAAACACTGCATTCATTGGGACTTCTAAAAAGTTGTATTCCAGTTCAGAACCATGATGGAAAACCACATAAACTAACCCAACTTGATTATTAATTTTATTGCCATCTGTATAACACACAACAGGGAAATTATCATCAACAGAATGGTCATAAATGATAGTTTGAATCGATCGACAGGACGAGGAAGATCTTCAAGCAACACCTTGGTATTGAACATAAATTTTCTGATGGTATCTTTAAACCTTTTTGTCATTTAAAACATGAAGGTCAGAGAACTTGAATGAAAAAATGAACACAGGGGCAAAAGCTCAACCGCTAAAGGCTAATACAATGTGAAAATCTCTGATATGGTGTGAAACATGGATCTGACATGAAAATCATACACATTTCACTCGGTGGTTGACAATAAAACAAGCTCCAGGAAAAGTTCCGAAGCCCCCTCTGAGTACAGTGATAGATGAGTTGGTATATGTTGAATGATGGTAATCTTACAGTACTGTTCACCATTAATTTTTCCTATGGGATGATATCATCATAGCAGATATTTAGCAAATACGCCAAAACTGTGCATTATGTGGCCAGCAGTGGCTCAGTAGTCGTGGTATTAACTAAAACGCAATATAAAATGCAAGTGAAAACCATATAATAGATAATCTAAAACAATGCATCTTCATCCTTAATCCCTGATTATCAAGATAGAGTATCCTTTTGTTCACTTGTACCATTTTCTGGAGAAATACTTTACAATGATTAATCTACCAAGATACAGGAAATTTAAATACCTCCACAAATGTAAATTTTTCAAATGTAACATAAACAACTTGTCTACTTTTTGACAAAAATGCATCCTGTCTACCTTTCGCATGTTGTTAATATTTTGATTAAATATGTTTACTCTTTCCACAAATTTGACTATTTTGTTTGCACCAATCAAATAATTTTATCTCAACACTGTATACAAAATTGTTATAAATTAACTTTAACTATTTTGCTTAAAATTTAAAACATTATATGCATACAGATATGCATTTATGCGATTTACAATATTTATATATTTTGTGCATAGTTTTAATCAAACAGCAAAATATTTACTTCGAACTTTAATGATAGATATATGCGTGTCTGCTTGAGATAAAAACAATTTATTTTTTAGTAACTTCTACAAACGTTTTATTACATGTGATGGAATTATTTAGATGAGTATAGTTTTCATCTTCAGCAAAGACGAAAAGCAATAGATCATCTTTTCTATATATATAAGTGGCTAAAGTGTGTGTCGCTGATAGTTTATTATTGCCATTTGGAAAAATGAGCACGGAAATTAACGTTTCCGCAGGTTTTATTAATATTCACGAGTAAAGTCGTACGAAGAGATGGTATCGATGGCTTCGCAGACTTTTTTGATCCGATTATACCTCTCGACTTTCAACTCGGTGCTGTCCCGTAGATTTCGAGAGAAAGATTTGGCACTAGACAAATCCCTTCTAATAGGGAAAACCCAAGAAAGAAAGTGAAAATGTAGGGAAAACGTAGGGGAAAATTAGTTTTTAATTAATATCTTGGCTAATTAAAGTCCCACGAAGACACAAATTGTCAAATTGGCGTGCCACGGACCTGCAGAATCCAACGATGTGCTTCACTAAGCCCGGGAGCCAGCCGTTTCGGATGAGATAATGTTACTACACCCCATATATATATATGCAGCTTAAGTGTCTGTTTGTCGCCGATAGCTTACTGGTTGCGTAACTATACTAGCCAACGGGGTGAAGTTGCCATGGCATGGGGTTACCGTTTCAGTTGAGACGTAGACAATTTCCTGCAAAACTTGCCTTTGCTATGACCATCCATAAGTCTCAGGGCCAAACGTTAGGCGTTGGAATTTTTTTATGAGCCTGCATTTTGACACGGTCAACTTTATTGCCTTTCAAGATTCGTGAAAGACGACGTAAATAAAAAATGATGGTCCTCTGCAAGGCGAGCTTAAAAATGATGGAAAGATCTACACAAAAAATGTTGTGTACAAAAAGATCTTTGACATGTGAATTACCATTTCATTATTTAAATAACCTTTATTTATTGAGCTTAAGAAATGTACTGCCAGTGGTTTCATTCATTGCACTCTACTTTAAGCAAGTAGAAGGGAAAAACCCTGTGGGGCAGTAAGCAAAAGGGCGTCCTCGCTGCCTACCCTGGGTAATTTAGTTTGAATTAGCAGACAGCTTTGCACAAATTATTTTAATTAAAATATCTAGAACAGCGGTCATTTCATATGACCACTGGCTTTCTAGTTTATTATAAGCTGAACAGTTTTAAGAAAATTTCTTGTTTATATGTTTCCGATGGCAACTATCAAAGTAGGTCAAGGTCAATCTTGTTAATCTATACAGTCAAAAAATACATCTTGAGAATTTTTTCCTCAGTCGACAGCAGATTTAAATAAATTCATTTTCTTGTAGAGATATCTGAGCACACATAATTCCTTCATTTTGCTCTATAATTAAAATTACCAGCTGTACATCTACACTAATTATGTTTCTTAACAGAGTACTCATTTTAGACCAAGTATATTTCATAACTACTTTTGGTAGTTTCATCCTAATAAATAGATGATAACTTCTATAAAAACTTTTAATAAGGAAACAAACACTGACCTTCCTTTTGTACCCTCTGAACCAGCCTCTGGGTCATGGACACAATAATCCGGCGATTTGACAGTGTAGACAAGATCGTCTTTATTGAAACGAGCTGCTCGTGGAAGAAGCTTCGTTCGCCTGCCCACGGGTACTGAATGTACCTCTTCGGCATCTCTGTGCCTGAGTTTCAACTTCTGAGCCACTTCTATCAAAGGCGGTAGGGATCGCCAACAAGTTTTTGCCTCGCAAGATCCAGAAACTCCGTGACATTTGCACTGTAGGCGCCAAGAAGAACGCACTGCCTACAAAAAGAGTAACACAATTAGAATAAACTTGCTTAAAATGAGAGGTTTATTCTGTAAGAAAATTGCAGTTATTACAGTACTATTTATAACTTATAAAATGCAAATTACAATGCAATGTATAATTTAGTTTAGTGATGGAGAATGTGGGCACCACCTCTTTACCATTATGGTTAATTGGTTTAGCGCCACGTCCACCCTTATCTAAAGCGGACCCATGTTAGGGCCACACGAGGTCCACTCATGGGCACTTGTATGTTCAGACAGAATTAAAATGGTTAATCTGTGTGAACACGTACTTATGAGTTGAACATAACTTTGGAAGACCATAAGATTCAATTCAATACCTAGCAAGTAATTTAGCAGTTATATAAGTTTACAATTCAATACATCATTATATTATATGCTGGATTGATAAGTGATACATTGTCAACAGATTTACTATGCAAAATCAACATTTAACTCAGTATACAACCTGAGAACATACAAAATGCTTATATTTCAACATTAGCCACTAGATTTATATGGAAGCATAATGCTAGATCTGACTAAGTATCTAATTATTCTGAAGCATTGTTAACTTTATATTACAGCTTACTACTAAGATACGTTATTAATTAAATTGATATTAATACAGTTAAATGAATAATTGCACTTAGACTATAAATACACTATAAAACATTAATTGTATGCAATTTCTAATTGATTCAAACATGATAATGCGAATATTAAACATGATCACTATAAATATACAATGATCCATACTATTACTTAAATTAATGATAATACTATTCATATTATTAATCATATTACATTGCACTATGATTAATAATAATATCTGCATATTATTATTAATCATAGTGCAATGTAAATAATGAAAACACTTTAAAAAATGAGATATCGCACGTTCCATTTTTGACAGTGCAGGTTCAATACCATCTTTGACATTTAAAATAGCTTACATTGCTTTGAAACTGAACACGTACAAATTCTGTATAGCATTATAGAAACTCATTCTGTTTTTCTACATAAACTAAAAGGGTAATGGAATCACCTTTTATTTTTGTATACAGATTGAGAAGGCTATTCAATACAGTTTTCTACAAAGGTTAGAGTGGGTGGATGATGTTTAAATCTAATGATTGCAAAGATGTGCAATTTCATACTTTGGCTCCTTAAATTGTGTAGAGCAGGGTTTCTTAAACTATAGGTCGCCGAAAATTTTAGCAGTTTTGATATTTCTTTAAATTAT